CCTGAGAGTACCCTGTAGAGGACATATTCTTGTATTTTATTATAGTATACGGTATATATTTTGTGCGTCAACTTGGACACATATGATCCACATAAATAAAAAATCCAATTAGTAAGTGGCATGCATGGTAGCTCCGTGGTATCTGTGGGAATGTTCTAATAGAAACCTGACCCAGAATTTGGTTGTCAGGAATATGGTTAAATCATCAATGAAAATAACATGAGGCCAAATTAAAAGGGAATATTAAATTAAAATGCATCTAGAACTGTAACTTGTGTTGTTGTTCAGTTGCACAGTCAAGTCCGACTTGTGTGAATGTACATAAATAATTATTTATATGTAAGCATATGTAAATATTAGATATATTCTTGATGTCTTAAACCATTAATGTTTGTTGTTGTACTCTTGGACTGTGATCCAGAATGATACAAGAGCTCCAAGATAAACAAGAATATCACATACCACCTACAGTACATGTTAACTTGTAAATACATTTTATTTGCAAAATATTTTATTAACAGTAGGTGGCAACCTTTGAAAATTAGATTTTAGCAGCACTGGTTTACCTCCAAACACAGAAATCTTAAATGCTGCTACAAATATCTTATAAAATGGAGCTGTATTTATCTGAAAATATTTTTAATGGAAAAAGATCACATTAGTTGCATTTTATTGTGTTGCACAGTATCCATTGAAATCCATTCCCTCCCTCCAATACCCTCCCCCCCTCAAATACCCTCCCCTAATCTGTACCATATAGTGGTAAGGTGCACAAGTTTGGGGTAACTGCCTCAAATTTTTCTAATATGGGTTTGATGAAGGAATGCAAATCTGCCCCACCCATGGACTCAGGTGTTCTGAATGACACAGATTATCTAGACTCCTATGACGATAGATCCAGGTGGTCAGTCGTGTTGGTCTGAAGCAGTAGAACAAATTTAGAGTCCAGTGGCACCTTTAAGACCAAAAAAGTTTTATTCACGGTATGAGCTTTCGTGTGCATGTACACATTTTCAAATACATGCATGCACACGAAAGGTCATATCTTGAATAAATGTTTGTTGGTCTTTGTCAGTAAACTGCCATTTGTATTCTGTGTATGCTCTGTGTAACCTGCCTGCTGTATCATGGGGGTGGGGGGGAATTAGCTCTGTTGCTCTGTTCTCATCCTCCCTGTGCGCTTTATCTCTTGTTTTGTCCTTGGAATGCTTTTGCTGCCTTTGTAGTAAGTAAGACTGTGAGAACCGTTGATGGGGCCATTCCCAATCTGGCTGGTGTGAACCAAACGGCTGAAAGGGTATCTCCTGCCTTGATTTTCTCCCGCTCGAATTTCTGCTGAGCGTGAACTGTATTCATTGGCTTAACCCTTTTTTTGAACTGTCTATATCTGTCCATGCTTGGCTTTGAGTTTCATTCCTGATAATGACCATGAAAGTGTATCAATACTGACTTGTATTAAAGCAACCTATTTTTATGAATTGTTGTGGACTGCAACTGCTCTATTGAACCTGACAGATTGTCAGGAATCTTGCATACCCCTCGACCCATATCTCTCAGGCAGAGATGAGCAGAGATGAAGAGCCTGTCACTCCGGTGACTACTCACCAGAGGTGGAGGCTCACTGGGGGAGCCCGGCACGGCAGCCGTTTGAAACGGCGGCGGGATGCACTGGAACCAGTGGCCGAAGAAGAGGCTGAGCCCGACTGGAGCTGGAAGGAGTTCATGGAAGACTGGTTGGAACTTCTGGAGCAGGACCAAGTGGGTGTTTGAGGAGGAGGAAGCTGATGAGCTACCCCCCTCCCGGCATTCTGATTGTAGCATTGAACTGCTGCCGGGGCATAAACTGCCTAAAGAGAAATTGTATTCCATGAGCCCTAGTTAGAAGGAAGAACTGTGCAAGTTCATTGACAAGAACTTGGCGAGAGGGTTCATCCGCTCAACGTCCTCACCGTTTGTGGCTCCAGTGTTGTTTCAGAAGAAAAAGGATGGGGGGCTGCGGCTCTGCACGGGTTATCGGGGTCTAAATGCTGTTTCTTCAACTAATGCCTACCCTACTGAACCTGACAGTCTTAATGGTACCGCTGGACTATAAATTTCTTCTATCTAGACTTCTATCGGTCAGGCTTTTTACCTAGGTATGGGACAGAAACCAACCTGGCCATGTCGGTCAGTTAACAATGGGAATGCATCCCTGTTGGTTCTCCTGAGCATCTGTCATTGGCTTTCAATACCATTTCAATACAACCAACTGGCTTTCAATACAACCATCAACAGAGAACAGTAACTCCACCCACTTCCCCAAAACTACAGGGGTTGAAGAGATCTAAACAACCTGAATCGAAAAGCACAATGCCCTCCTGACATTTATAACATAACTAGGAAAAAGGCCCATTGTGGAAATAAATACAACGGCCTCTAGAAAGAGGCTCTGGGCGGGTGCCCTGGCCTTGGACACTCAGTGTAAATTTGCTGTGGCGACCTCAGCAGGTTATAATAACACTGAGTCCACCATTTTCTCCAGAGGAACTGATCTCTGCTACCTAAAGTACAGTTGTAATTGAGTGATCTCCAGCCCTCACCTGGAGATTGGCAATGATGGTTCCCCAGAAAAGAATAGTTGGTTTGGAGGGTGGAGTCTATGGCTTTGTACTTGTCCGAGGTCCCACACCTGAAACCTCACCCTCTCCAGGCTCCATCCCTCACATCTCCAGGAATTTACCACCTGGAGTTGGCAACCCTATCTCTTTCCCAGCCAATCATCAACCTATCTTTATTTCCCCCTCACTCTTCAGCTTTCCACCTCCCACACACCTGCAGCCTCTCCCGTGCTCTGAAGCCCTGACTGCTACGTCACATTGGCTGTCATATGGGGGCCACCTCAGCAGCACATAAGGATACAGAGCCCACCATTTTCTCCAGGGGAACTGATCTCTGCCATCTGGAAAGCAGTTGTAATTCTGAGTGATCTCCAGCCCTCACCTGGAGATTGGACACCTTTTACCTCAGAATAGCAAACTGTTTAGAATGTTAGAGGCAAAAGCCAATCGAGTCGCATATGCAAACGACCTCTGTGTTCTGAGGCAAAGACCAATGAGGCTGCATATGCAAATAACCTCTGTGTTCTGACTGGCTATGGGGGGAAGAGGAACAGCAAAATATTTAGAATGTTGGAGGCAGGACTCAGGCAAAGCAGCCAGTGGATAGGGAGACCCTCTGAATGACAGATCAGAGAGCGAACTGATTTTGGAGCGTGTGGAATGTTCTAGAGAAGTACCACCACCATTTGGTTTTTATTTATAAGGGAGATGTCTGGACACTTCCACTGATACAAAATACAGTAACTGGGGTCCTGGTAGCTGATGGAAGGAACAGATACGGCCAGTGTTACATCAGCTCGACTGGCTTCCAGTTTATTTCTGGAATTTCCCAAGTATACAGAAGCCTCCCTTTTGCTTGAGGTTGACAGTGGTTTGCTGCTTTACCAGGGATGGGCAACCTTTTTAGCCTGTGCCAAAAAACCCTCACAAAAAACCTCATACAATTTCTAACAGTGAAGATATTTGTGTACTATGAAACAAAAGGGAGAAAAGAGAGCAGGAAAGAGAGAAATGTACCACTTTGGTATTAGAGAGAATTAGATTGTTATCAACATTGTTTACAGAACACTATGGACGTAAAACTGATATATATGATTATAGACACAATTATATACTTAACTGTGAGCAAGTGTGGTGTAGTGGTTAGACTTAAAAACTAGGGTCTGGGAGACCCAGGTTCAAATCCACATTCTGTTATGGAAGTTCACTGGGTGATTTTGGGGCAGTCACACACTCTCAGCCTAAAATATCTCATAGGGTTGTTGTGAGGATAGAATGGAGGAGAGCAGAATGATATAAGATGCTTTGGACCCCCATTGTGCAAGAAGGCATGATAACTAAATAAATAATAAATATAGCTAAAGTGGGAGGCAATAAAATGTAGGTTGGTGGGTGAGCCTGAAGGAGATAAGGGAGCAGGGAAAGAAGATGATATGGGGACTGCCAGGATGAAGGAAATAAGAAATAATGTGGGGGAGGGGTATTAGAAGGTGGGGAAACCCCCCCCCCCTCAAATCCTATTAGGTTTCCCACCAAACAACTGGGTCTGGCTCAACCAGCACTTTGCAACTTGGCCAGAGTTTTCCCAGGCAGAGGCTGCCAGGGAGATGGAAGGAAGAAAATCTGAAGATTGGGGGGGGGAGATAAAGGCAGGCTGGTGGGTGGGTGGATGGAAGCAGAAAAAGGGGAAAA